TTTATGACGGAGACTCGCTCTGTTGCCCAGGCTTAAGTACAATGGTACAATCTCAACTCACTGCAGCCTCCACCTCCTGGGTTCAAGCAATTCTCCTGCCTCAGCCTCCCGAGTAGTTGGGATTACAGGCGCCCGCCACCACGCCCAGCTCATTTTTGTATTTTTAGTAGAGACAGAGTTTCACCATGTTGGCCAGGCCGGTCTTGAACTCCTGACCTCATGATCCGCCCACCTCAGCCTCCAAAGTGCTGGGATTACAGGTGTGAGCCACCGTGCCCGGCCCACAGTGGACTTTTAAGACAGGGAGAAGTGACTGGTTCATAAAGCCCCCTCCAACTTTCCATCTAGTCATACCTCCAAAAAGCCGTAGCGATTTCTGTGACTAAGCAGCCCCTATTGGATCTAACATACTTTTCCCCTGGTCTGGTCAATGCCCGACTATAAGCTTGAAAAGATGATATGCTAGAATCTTTTCTCCAAAAGGCAGGGGCTGGGCTGGGCTGGGTCAGGCCAGGCGAAGTATACTTTGACTTTGTGGACCTAGGACACAGAATGAAGGAAAATGGGAGGAGATTCTTCACCTTTGCAGAAGAGAGTTAAATATTTGGCCCTTCTAATTTAACAGATATGTGGGAGGGTTGGGAGGTTGTTTGTTTATTATTTGTTTGTTTTTGAAACAGGGTCTTACTCTGTCACCCAAACTGGAATGCAGTGGCATGATCATAGTTCACTGTTAACCTTGAACTCCTGGGATCAAGCCATTCTCCCACCTCAGCCTCCAGAGTAGCTGGGACTAGGTGCACACCACGATACCCAGCTGATTTTTTTACTTGTTTTGTAGAGACAGGGTCTCGCAATATTGCCCAGGCTGGCTCAAACTCCTGGCCTTAAGCGATCCTCCTGCCTTGGCCATGCAAAATGCTGGGATTACAGGTGTGAGCCACTGCACCCAGTGTACAGGTATGTGTTAGCTCTGCCACTTGGTAGTTTGTGACAAGGCACCTCTGGATGTTGTAGATACAGACCATGAGCAAGGCAAGGACCCTGCCTCAGTAGAGACATAGTCTAGTTGGAGAGAAATAAAAATATACAAGTAACTGTTATCTGTGATCAATCACTTACCTAACAGACGTGTTTGAACAGTTACTGTGGCAGACCAGGCACTCCTTTTACATGTCAGCAACGTGTCAGGGAACAAGAGAGAGCTTACATTGTATAGGGAGAAGACAGATGAAAAACATGAAATTATTGAGTCCATGAAATTATTTTAGGTAACAATATGTACTGTGGGGAAAGAAAAAAAAAAAAAAAAAAAAAAAAAAACTAGGGTAATTGGATTGAAAAGAACTGTGTGGGGAATTGAGTATTTATACTAGAAGATCAGGGAAGGCCTCTCTATAGAATCAATATTTGAGGTGAGACCCAAATGATGTGAAGGAGTCAGGCATGAAAAGGTTTTAGAAAAGAGCATTCCAGAGAGAGGAAATTGCATATCAAAGGATAAATGCTTGACTTATTCAAGAAGCAGAAAGAAGGCTGGTGAGTTTGAGGCACAGCAAGTCAGGGGTAAGTTGCGAGCAGGGGTTGTAGAGTGAAATGAGGCCAAAGGTAGGAAGGCTCAGCTGATGGAGTACCTCGTAGACCCTGGAAAGCACAGGAAGGAGTTCAGATTTCACTTCACGTGCAAAGGAAGGCTACTGCATTGAGTTTTTAGAGGCGGTTAACGTGGTTCAATTACTGCTGTCTTTTTTTGTTGGTTTGTTTTGTTTTGTTCTGAGACAGGGTCTGGCTCTGTTGCCCAGGCTGGACTTCAGTGGTGCTGTCACAGCTCACTGCAGCCTGGAACTCCTGGGCTCAAACGATCCTCCTGTGTCAGCCTTCTGAGTAGCTAGGACTACAAGGATGTGCCACCACACCAGCTAATTTTTAAAAAATTTTTTTGTAGCGATGGAGATCTTGCTTTGTTGCCCAAGCTGGTCTTGAACTCTTGGGCTCAAGCAGCCTCCCACTTCAGCATCCCAAAGTGCTGGGATTATAGGCATGAGCCACATGCCCAGCCTAATTATTGCTTTTTAAAGGTTCCTTTACTGCTTCATGAAGAATAGAGATTATTAGCATGGTGTGATGAGGGAAATGAGTACTGAATGATCTGTAACCAAGAATATACTAAATTCTTTGTGAGACCATTTATTTTAGGATTGGACCAGAAAAGTTTCATAAAGGAACTGATTCTTGAAGCCAAGACCTGCTTTTGGTTAAGTTGGAGCTTGCCCAAAGAAAATTAAAAATTGAAGGGAGAGAAAGCAGAGAGAATAAAACATATAAAAGATCTCTGACAGATGATAGTCAAAATACAGAGATCCCAAATCCCACATGGGAAACAGGAGGAGTTATATCTGAGTCAAAATTGAGATGAAAGCTCCAAGCAGAGCACTAAATTAACACAGATTCCTGGCAGCCAAAGCAAAAACTGTTTTCTGGCTAGGCACGGTGGCTCATGCCTGTAATCTCGGCTTTGGGAGGCCAAGGTGAGCAGATCACTCGAGGTCAGGAGTTTGGGACCAGCCTGGCCAACGTGGTAAAACCCTGTCTCTACTAAATAGAAAAATTCATGCATGCCTATAATCCCAGCTACTCAGTAGGCTGAGGCAGGACAATCACTTGAACCTGGGAGGCAGAAATTGCAGTGAGCTGAGATTGTGCCACTGCACTCCAGCCCCTGGGTGACAGAGCAGGACCGCATCTAAAAAAAAATAAAACTGTTTTCTGCCTTAGTGTTTATCAGGCTATAATGAGGTCACCTATTCTCCAGGTCTTGGAAAAGAATCCAGGGCATTTTTTGCCAACGTGCCAAGGATTTGTCTTAATCTTACCCGGCTACCAGTGTCTCTAGAAGTGGTACCCCAGAGCCAAGGCAAAAACAGCCCCACTCACCAGGCCCCCCACAATGCCCAAATAGTCCCCTTACCATGTTGGTACCACTGTCTCAGGTTTGGGCTGAATCATAGCTTCCATGCAAAATTTCTTCTGGCCATTTCCAAAAATCAGATCTACCCTTTAAAAACAAAGATTTGATTTTCCCTTTGTGAGGCAATGCTTCCCTCCCTCGGCTAGCTCCAGTTCCTCGGCTCATGGTCTAGCACTGCTGTGAGCATCACCTAGAAGGCCACTGAGATGTGCCAAGGAGAGGGTGGGGACTTACAAACTAGTCTCCGCCCATTATGATGGGTGCCCTCCTGTCCTGCAGGGTCGGACCGATACCTGGAGAGCCGGGATGCCTCTCGACTGAGTGGCCGGGACCCCTCCTCATGGACAGTTGAGGACGTGATGCAGTTTGTCCGGGAAGCTGATCCTCAGCTTGGACCCCATGCTGACCTCTTTCGCAAACACGTAGGTGCCCCTGCCTGACCTCTCATTAGGAACATGTGTGGAGAGCCTCACCTGGCGGGGCAGTAGGAGATGTTTGGGGAGGAGGGATGCTTAGAGACAAAGGGTGAGGAGAATAGGCTTCAGCATCACAGCAGATGAACTGGACCCCATGTGGCTGGCACTTCCCAGGATGGCCTGTAATCAGAACCTGGGGTGGTCAGACCAACCAGGACTCTGATGGCACCTCCCCTCCACTTCTGCCCACCTCCCACCCCCCAGGAGATCGATGGCAAGGCCCTGCTGCTGCTGCGCAGTGACATGATGATGAAGTACATGGGCCTGAAGCTGGGGCCTGCGCTCAAGCTCTCCTACCACATTGACCGGCTGAAACAGGGCAAGTTCTGAACCAGGAGAGGCAGCCTAGACAACCAAGGGGTCAGCAGGTGGGGGCAGTCTTCTAGGAATGAGGGGCATCAGCCCACCCCAGGCACTTCATTGGGGTTCCAGTGCACCTCAGGACTCCAAGAGGCTGTGTGGAGCCACCACTCCTAGCCGCAGCTGCCGTGATATGTCCTTCCATGAAGGACCAAAGTGTGGGGTCCAGGGCTGGTGCTGCTCTTCCCTCCCCTCAGCTCTGCCGGGGCTCCGAGGTCCCCTCTATTTATTTCTCAAGCCTGGCTGGCCTGTCACCAGTTTAGACTGAATGCCTTCCAAGTGATGGAGAAAAAGGCCACCTCTGCCCTGGTCTTGGTATGGCACCCCATCGCCCCACAGCTCCTACCTTCTCACCAGATTCCCCTGAATCCAAACTGATGGTGCAAACCTCTGCCTTTTTTAAAAAAAGATCTTATTGTTAATTTATTGTTTCTGGCACTTGGGCAAACCCTTTAGTTATTACTCCTCCCACTCTAGACACTGGGTTTCAGGAGGAGGGAGACTGCCCTGTCCTGGTCCCAGAGAGGCTGTCTCCAGATAGGTGTGGCCCCTCTTCAGAGGATACTATGCTAGGGCATTTTCTCTTTGAAGTGGAAAGACCCATAAGGCCTTGACCACATCACTCCATATGGGAAGGAGAAGGGTCCCTGTCCTCTTCTCTTCTCTTCATGGGGCCCTTTTGCAGCCCCAGGCCTCATCTGTGGGAAGAGAGTCCCTGCCCATACTGCCCCCACCACAGCTCTTTGCCCTGGCCAGAACTGCAGTCGAAGATCAGGCTGGATGATCTTAGGCCAAGAAGGCCCTAAGGTGGATGGGAGGGCAGGTTTTCCAGGCTGGAGACAGTTCCACTCACTCTGCTGTCCATATGCTTCCTTGTAAGCGAGTCAGCAGCACAGCTACTCACGCTGCCATCTGGACTTATTTTATGTCAATCTGTTTATAAATAAAAACCAATATACATACCACTGTCTTTTTAATCAATTAACAGCCAGATCACTATGCATTCATTGGACCAGTCATTCCCCTTCTCTTGGTCTTAGTTTGCTCACATATAAAATGAGGTCAGGCTCATGCCTGTAATCCCAACACTTTGGGAGGCCAAGGCAGGAGGATCTCTTGAGCTCAGGAGTTTGAGACCAGCCTGAGCAAAATGATGAAACCCCAGCTCTACAAAAAAAAAAAAAAAATTACAAAAATTATCCTGGCGTGGTGGCACACACCTGTAGTCCCAGCTACTTGCTGCTGCCTCACCCCTAGGAAACAAAACAGCAACATCTTCAGAAAGGCTGCTCACAAGGAAGGCAGCTTCTCTATGCTATCAAACAGCTTCCTTAGTTGAAGCATCTAACTCTGGCCCTATCCTTACTGCCCCCCGTCGGGGCTTCCAGAAGCAGTGTGGGAAAGTGCTGCTGGCCTTCTGCAGAATGACGAGCACTGGTCAGTCCTGGCGCTAATAAAGGCTGCGCGTCCCTCATGTCTTCGTTTCTCAAACAGCAGGTAACAACTCATCTTTCCGAAGAGATAGCTATGCTCGACCGATTTTTCAGGGCTCTTCTGGACAGCAGCCTCTGTCTGCAGCACAGAGAAGGGCCAGGCATCGGGGGGCCCTGGAGCCCACCATGTGCCTCCTGCTCCATCTTGGGAGCAGCTGGGCCTGTCAGCACTCAGTCAAGCCTGGGATTGGTGACTAAAGAGGGAGGTGTGGAAGCTTGAGGCAGCAGTGCTGAAAGAGGTAGCAACAGGTGCCCTACATGGGCACTGGGGCCCGGAGACATCACAGAGGCAGGAAGTGTCTCCAGCTCTCAAATTCTGGAAGCTGTCAGAGGGAGGGAGTCCCACAGCCAAGCTGCATGGGGGTGGGCCTCTAGGTCTGCTTCCAGTGTGTGGTGGGGCCCACAGGGAGCTGAGAGGGAGTTTTCCTGTCTGATTTCCCACACTTGGCCTGCCTGTGGCTGGCCAAGGCATTGTTGAGCCCCATGAGATCACAGAGATAGCTATGCAGGCCCCGCCCACTTCCTATAACCCTAGTTCTGGCTGTCTCCAAGTGCCCTGAGAGCCATCGGCCAGGGGTCGGAGTGCTGTGGGAGCTCAGGGCAGGCACCTCCCATGCTCCCACTGGAGCCACTAGGACATAAAGCTCATAGGCCTCTCCACTCCTTCGTGTCCTGTTTGACCTGAATGCCCCCAGGCTGACTGCCTCAAGGATTCCATCTGAGAAGATGCTGCCTGGGTGTGTGGGGAGCAGTAGAGGGGCTGGTGTTAAACATATGTGCACAGCTCAGGACAGAGGCTCCCTGGACTTGGGGCGGGGGGTGCCGGGGTCCCAACACTAACCCTCATTCTGCTCCTCCTGACTTCTGCTCTCTAAACCAAACATGGAAGACTCAGTCTAGACTAGGAGTTCTTAGGGTCTAGGAGCCCCCTTAAGTGATTGATAGGTTTATATGCAAAGGCCATTTTTCTGAGAGGCCATAGACTTCTTTCATCAGTGTGTCAAAAATCATGAGAATCTCTGCTCTGAAAGCCTCTGCCCCAGCGCTGCCTAGTGTGAGCCCCCGATGGCCTGACATTGGCTTTTAGAGCAGGCAGAGAAGTCACCCACCAGTCCTCAGAATCCTGGATGAAGGCCTTTTCTCCAGGAGGAACTGTTGAAAGGTTTTCTCTGGTGCCTGGAAGCAGGAGTGACTATTCTGTTAGGCAGGAAACCCTGAGGGCACCTAGGAGGCCTCTAGCCTGTGGATCGGGGAGGAAATATAGGATCCCTGGTGCCACTCAAATGCTGGAGATCTCAGAGACCCAAGTTCTGGTCCCTTCTGCTGTTCTGGGCAGATCCCCTCAGGCTCCCCACAGGCGCTGTGTCTGGCTCAGTCCACCTGACTCCGCTTTCCCATCTTAGGCCTCACACAGGTGGGCAGGCCCTTTCCTGCTTGCCTTCTGCCCTCCCACTGTCTCTGGCCCTGCCCAGCCTCTGCCAGTCTGTGTGCCTCCCAGGAGCCAGGATACTCCCTGAGTCCTCTGGGAGCCCCTAAGCCACACTGAGAACCCAGACCCTGGGAGGAGCAGCCAGCAGTGAGGAATCCTGGAATCCCTTCCCAGGGAGAGCCTTCCCATGACTTCCAGGAAGAGATCAGTGCAAACACAGGTGTCGGCGTCCCTGCTGGAGTACTGGGATGAGGAGTCCCTGACGGAATACTCCGACCTCGAAGAGGCTCCCTCGGCACACACTCTCTATGTGGGCCATCTGAACCCCCAGTTCTCAGTGCCGGTGCTCGCCTGCCTGCTGCGAGATGCCCTGGAGCGGCTGGAGCTGCCGGTGGCACGGGAGCACATCGAGGTGGTGCGGCGGCCGAGGAAGGCCTATGCACTGGTGCAGGTGACCATCCGCAGGGACACCCTGGCCTCCCTCCCCTGGCGCCTGCGGACAGCCCTGGAGGAGCACCTAATCCTCAAGGAGCTGGCAGCCCGTGGAAAGGAGCTGCTATTGAGTGAGGCTCAAGGGCCCTTCAGCCACAGAGACGTAAGTGGGACTTTTCCCAAGCAAGCTCCAAAGCCTCACCCCCCAGGGAGAGACCCCCGGGTGGGAGTGGCCTGCTGAGTTGGGGCAGAGGGGTATCTCTGAGGAAGCAGGGACAAATCTGCAAACTTGGGGGCTGCTACTCAAATGACCATGGCTTGTGACTGGTACTGCCAGCTTTCTCCCAGAAAGACACTGACGCTGTTTGCTTCTAGCCCGATGCTTGCTTCGTGAAGAAAGGCTGTGGGGCGGCCTCCTCCTTGGGCCCTTTTGCATTCCAGCCTCTGGGCCTGGGAGACCCTAGAAGACACAGTGGCCCTGGTTTTCTCCTTGGCCCACCTCACTTTTTCACTTGACAAACATGAACACCCCCTCTGTGCCAGGACTAAGGCAGGGATGAGAGACCCAGCCAGACCCCCAAGGAGACCTGCATCTGTGGGCAGAGCCGGACAGCCACCCACAGAGCTGCGAGGTAGCTGCACTCAGAGCTATGAGAGGACGTAGGAAGGAGCAGCACCCTGCTCTCTAGGGACAGATTCACAGGGGAAGTGAAATCCAGGCTGGGACTTCTTAGGGAGTTGGACAGGTATCTGAGGAGGAGGACATTCCAGGCAAGGGACACAGAACATGCAGAGGGAACCTGGGGGCTTAGAGGGAGTGTCGCGTCTGCAGAAGAGCAAGGCATTTGGTGTCCCTGAAGCTCCTGCTAAAGGCTGCAGAGGGTGCTGCAGAAGGAAGTTGGGCCATAAAGTAGGGCAGGGCCAGGTCACCAACGCTATAGTCCAAAGTAAGGCTAAAGGGCTGGCTTTACTGGGACATGGGAAGTTAGGGTGGGTCCCTCCATGAGGCAGTGATCTTGGGTTTTTTTTTCTTTTGGTGTGAATGCTATTGCAGAACTAAAGGGCTCCGTGGCTTTACATTTCAACTCAATTCCATATGTGTATGAAGTTTAACTTTTTTTTTTTTTGAGACGGAGTCCTGCTCTATCGTCAGGCTGGAATGCAGTGGTACGATCTTGGCTCACTGCAACCTCCACCTCCCAGGTTTAAGCAATACTCCTGCCTCAGCCTCCCGAGTAGCTGGGACGACAGGCATGTGCCATCATGCCCGGCTAGTTTTCTGTATTTTAGTAGAGACGGGGTTACACCATGTTGACCAGGATGGTCTTGATCACCTGACCTCATGATCTACCCACCTCGGGCCTCCCAAAGTGCTGGGATTACAGGCATGAGCCATTGCACCCAGCCAGTTTATCCTGTTTCTAAGACTGATAAATTCATCTTCTCTGGGGAGCTGCAGGGCTGGTAGTGAGGTTTCCTGGTCTCCTCACCCCAGCCCATGCTCGTGAAGTAACAATCTGCCTAGAAGTTAGCATCACTAAGGAGGGTCGACAGGAAAGGGTAAGCGTGGAAGAAGGGAGGTTGGGCTGGGGCTGGCTGGGGAGGCCCAGACTAGATATGGCCTCGAGAAGGCTCACACCAAGCCCTGGGGCAGAGCAGAAACCACAAAAAGGGACTCAGGAGGCACAGAAGGAAGTGGAGATTAGGGTAGACTTGTCAATGGCCCAGAAAGTAGTGGGCAAATGTTTGAGATCAGGAAGTGGGTGGGGTGTCTGGGAATCCCTCTCCATTCAGGGTCCTGCAGCTCTGTCACAGGGTGCTGAGGTATCTGTTAGAATGATCTGGCTCTGGGCCTCAGGGGCCTATCTGCAACCCAAGTAAGAAAAATTGGCCCACACGTGTCCCAGCACCCAGCCCGGGGAAGCAGAAATCTCTTCCCCACCAGGCATCCCACAGCTCACCTGGGAAGAGCCCAGCTCGGCGGAGGAAGGAGTGCCGGCTGGAACCCTCGATCCAGCAGGGTTTCCTGCCTCAGCTGCAGGAAGGTGGGCATAACTGGGCCACTTGGCCTGGTGAGGGACATCAGGATGGCCGTGAGAGTCGGGCCACAGCAGGGGCCTGACGGGGGGTTCTTGCAGTCCTTCTCAAGGTCAGGGCTCTCATTTTCTTTCTGGACCCATACACTCATTCTTGACTCCCACCCAGGAGGAGGAAGACAGTGTCCTGAACCCTGGCGCCAGCCATAACCCGGGCTCTGGTGTTCCGCTGCCCGCCTGGCCTACACACAAGCTGCCTGATAGGCCCCAGGCCTGGCAGCATCAGAGATGCCAGACCCGGCCCAGTGGCGTGTGCTCCGATAGTGCCATTGTGCACCAGGAGATCATGGGCAAGGAGCAGCTCTTCCAGGGTGCTTTCCTGGGCAGTGAGACCCGCAACATGGAGTTCAAGCGGGGCAGCGGCGAGTACCTAAGCCTGGCCTTCAAGCATCATGTGCGGCGCTACGTGTGCGCCTTCCTCAACAGCGAGGGTGGCAGCCTGCTTGTGGGAGTAGAGGACAGTGGCCTGGTGCAGGGCATCCGCTGTGGCCACCGTGATGAGGACCGCACGCGGCTGCTGGTGGACTCCATCCTACAGGGCTTCAAGCCCCAGGTCTTTCCCGACGCCTACACCCTCACCTTCATCCCTGTGATCAGTACCTCGGAGACCAGCGTCCCCCTCAAGGTGAGCCTGCGGGACATGAAGGCCTCTGGGCCTGTCATCTGTCATCACTAAAGACAATGGCCTGTGCTCCTCTGCCAGGCAGTGCTGGGGCAGGGACGGGACTGGGGGCCACAGGAGAAGAGGCTGGGGATGCCACCATGCCAGCCCTGACAGGCTGCCCTAAGGAAGCAGTGAGCAATGTTGAGCAGCCTGGCAGGAAGGGGACTGCCAACCATGAGGTGCAGTGCCTCCAGAGCTGATGTTGCCCCTACCAAGGTGATCCGCCTGACCGTGCACACCCCCAAGGCCCAGAGCGAGCCGCAGCTCTACCAGACCGACCAGGGGGAGGTGTTTCTGCGGCGTGACGGGAGCATCCAGGGCCCACTGTCTGTCAGCGCCATCCAGGAGTGGTGCAGGCAGGTATGGAAGCTGAGGCCAGTGGGCAGGGCAGGGTGGGGCGGAGCTGACCCTGGGCCCCTTTAGCCACCCACTGAGCAACCCAGGGCAAGCCACCATGGTTCCCTGGACCCTGCATCACCTTGTTTAACCCAAGGGGTTAGATTAAAATCACACCACATCCCATCCTCCACGGTTAGGTGGCTGGTGGGGACGGAGAGGCCCATGCCCTCTCCTTTTAAAAATCTATGCAGTAACTTCCTTTCATGGGTGCCTGAAACCCCTTACCTCCTACTTGGGCAGTTAACGCACTCGATCTTGAGCGGCTGAGGGAGCAGGAGATTGGAATGTTGAGAAGTCACCAGAAAACCCCAAGGACTGTTCACTGCATTTTAGGGGAGGCCCTAAAGAAAAGGGGTGGAGGGGTGCTGGACACAGTTCCAAGGAAGAGCTTTTTCAAGAGGGAAGCAGGGGAGAGTGGAGGACAAGGGGCCGACAGTGAGGGGGGACATGGCCTGCTGGCATGGAGGAGGCCCTCTTCCAGGGTCAGTAGCCAGCAGCTTCCCTCAGACTGATGTGGTCAAAGGCGGCAGCAGGCCGAGGGGCCTGACTTCCCCTCTAGCTGAGAAGGCTTCCAGGCTCCCTGGGCTTTGCCTTCCTCCCTCAGTTTGGCCCCAGATGGAGGATAGACAGGCCTGAGGCCATGCGGGCTTAGCCACGTGCATCTCCCATGTCCCCTCAGAGGTGGCTGGTGGAGCTGGGCAAGCTGGAGGAGAAGGTGAAGGCGCTGACGATGGAGAAAGAGCAGCTTCAGGAGCAGCTGCAGCAACGCGGGCCGGTGTCTTGCACCTGCTGTGTCCTGTGAGGGCCTGGGGAGTCGCAGGACGGCGCGGAGCTCTCCACCCAAGATGCAGGGGTTTCCCATTTGAGCCTAAGGCCGACCAATAAAGCCCATGGGGGCCACTGAGACGTGGACAGGGGCTTCTTCAACATGGCGCATGAGCAGGTGCCCATGTGGCTTCAACCCTGACAGACCCGTCTGTGTAGCTAAGAAATTGCTCTCAGCCCTGTCCCCAAGCAACCTTACTTTCAGAAAGAAGGTGTTCCCCTAAGGCTGAGCTCTAAGAGTTCCAGAGCTCCCCTAGGGCTGAGCTGTAAGAGATTGTTCCTCTCCCTAAAACACTCATTTGACCCAGGTTGAGGTCTGTGACTTCAGTTGGCTAGACAGTGCCAGAGAGGAATCGGTCGTCTCAGGAAAGCCCCTCGCAAATGGCATGGCATATTTGGTGACTGTGGTTACAGGGCAAGAGGCCACCATGCAGCCCCCACCCCTGATTTGCCGGAACTTGTGACTGTCAAAGCTCCGTAATAAATTACATGTACCTGGGACAAGAATGGTTCTTTCTGGGAAACTTGGTCAGCCGGTCAGATGCTGCAGGGTCGTGAGTCCCATGCCCAGCCCACCTCTGTCCAGGAGGCAGAGGACAGACATGTGAGGGCAGGAAGCCTAGCCCCTCAGGCTCCAGGCCAGCTCTGTCTTAAAGACCAGGTGCCGTGGGGCAAAGTGCTGTGCCTCTGTGCTTCAGTTCTTCATCTATAAGACAGTGACAATGGCAAGGGGCAGGGGCATTTTGTCACCATCAGGCCAATGCCCTGTGTCTATGCCAGCTGTGGCACAGAGCAACACCTCACACTGACGGTTTCAGTTCCTTTCCAAGACCCCTCTGGCCCAGTAAGGCCATTAGCTTAAAACAAACAAACAAAAAAAAAAACAGAAAAACAGACCCCTCCGGCCACTGGAGGCTTCCTGCCTCTGGCCATTTCTCCTGCTGTCTCCACCAGCCAAATCAGACTGTAAAGCCAGAGTCTGATCACATTCATGCCGTGCCTGCGCCCACAGACCTCCACATTCTCTTCAAGAGCAAAGCCCAAATGATGGCCTATATGATTCTCCATGACCTAGCCCACCTGACCTCAATGTCTTCTGCCCCTGCACAAGCCACTTCAGCCACACCTACCACGTGCACTCCTGCCTCAAGGCCTCTGCACTAGAAAGCTGCCTGTTTCCTTTCCTCTCCACCTTCAAGTCCATGCTGTTTTCCCACCCGCCCTATTTTAAAGCCACCACCCTCCCAGCACTGCCACTCCCCTGCTTGCTGCCATCCTTTTTCTCCATATATGAACTGTCACACTCTAGCTTATATTTGGTGTTCCCCCCACTGAATACCTGCTCTGGGGCACAGGGAAGTTTGGGCATGGCTGGCATGTAGTGGACACCCAACAAATACCTGCTGATGAGACAATTAAGAATACTCCTAAATTTGGAGTCTGAGCCACCAGAAAATCGCCAGACCTTGTTGAACAGGGCATTTCACAGGACTGGTGTCCCCTGGAACACACTTCAGTTGATCCCCTAAAACTGCGGCCCCTGGTCACATCCACAGAGCACACAGACGAGAACTTTGGAACCTCAGCCCCTCCATTCAGCAGCCAAATGACATCTCCTGGGCCCTCACAACTGCTCTGAGACCTGCTTTTTACCACTTAGCAAACAGCATGCAACCCTTGCCTCGGCTGCCATCCATGCTGGTTATGGGGGCCAATGGGATGGTGGGTGCCTGCATCATGGCAGGTTAGCAAACTCCTGCTACTCACCCACTGAGCTACCCCAAGGTCACCAAGGCTGCTCAAAAACTTTGCAAATGTGTTAAGAAGGTAGAGGAGTGACATTTTCTGAGCACCTTCCATGATCCAGGTACCATGCTAAATGCTAGTCCAGGCATCACAATTCTCAGAAATGTTTTCTGGGGAAAAACAGCAGATTTCTATGAAGGAAGGGTGAAGTCAGGCTTACAGCCCCGCCGCTCCAGACTGCTAAGAACCTGCCCAGATCCCCCGGACTAAGGGAAGTTTATGGGAAGGCCACAGGAGGAATGTGGCCAGCTTGCTACCCCACCTCTGGGCCCTGGTCAATAAACACTGGGCACAGGGTGCCCTGTAAATCCAGCTTCAGCCCTATCCTATCTGCTATAGCCAGGGTGGCAGGACAGCTTGGGCTCTGCCAGCCCTGGAGACCATTTGCAATCTTTTTTCAGAAACCTTACATATGTGGCCAGCACTTGACAGATGATCAGCCACAGTGACCTTAAAGGTAAGAGCAGGAACATGACTACTGGGAGGCTTTTTCACACCACCCACACATCCAACCATTGTGGGGAGCCATGATGTCACCAATGGGCATGTCAGACCCTCAGTCTGGGGAATGTTTAAAAACAAAAACAAAAAAAACCACTACTGACCGGGTGCAATGGCTCATGCCTGTAATCCCCACACTTTGAGAGGCCGAGGTGGGAGGATCGCTTGAGGCCAGGAGTTCAATTCCAGCCTGGTCAACATGGCAAGACCCTGTCTGCATAAAAAAAATTAATTAGGTGGGCATGATGGGGTACACCTGTAGTCCCAGCTACTTGGGAGGCTGAGGCAGGAGGATCTTGTGAGCCCAGGAGGTTGAGACTGCACTGAGCCTTGTTTGTGCTACTGCAATCCAACCTGGGCAACAGTGTGAGATCCTGACTCAAAAAAAAAAAAAAAAATTAAATAAAATTTAAAATGAAGGCTATCTGCTGGGACCATCAGGTGGGAGAAGGCGTTAGAATTATGCTCAATCAGCCACATTCAAAGCACCATAACAAGCAGTTCTACTGCTGAAGAGTCTGGCCCACTGCTCCCTGGCTGTGTATATGGGGTCCCACGTCCAGTGCCTGGCAGAGGAAAGGACCGCCTTCCTAAACATGCTTATCCCTCCCCTTTTTCAGTCATGCAGTAGCATACTAAACACCAGCACCTTTTCATCTTGCTCTTCATGCTGAGAACTTTTTTTGAAGCTTCATGAAAAATTCTGGTTCCTATGAAAAAGAAAGCCTCCTTTCTTAAGTTTTTAAACAAGCTCTCAGGTCGTCTGCTGACTTAAGGCTGCAGACACTAACAAGTCAGGTGACTTCACACAGGCACGCCCAGCACTGTGCTCAAGACGCTTCCCAACTGGCCAATGACATAAAGAGAGAGAGAAGCAAAGTGTGTCTCTTGTTCTGCATTATTTATTTCTTAAGTTAAGAGTACACATTGAGTCCAGCGAGAATACAGTGGCACACAGCTGTGCCTATCGTTAGCTCACATTAAGAAAATGACTTCATACTGCCCTTTCCACTGCGGTAACACCATCCCGGAAGAAAAACGTACCCTCGAGTCAAAGCTGTCTGTCTATGAGAGGGTTTTAGAGGACGCTTCCCCAAAAGATTCTTTGTTCTTTTCAAGTGACCCCTTGATGCAAGGAGTGTTTCCCAGCCCCAGAAATAGCAAGCGCAGCCAGAGGCATGGGGATTTTAACATCACACTTCAGAGACACACATCTTGGTGTTTCATGTGACACCAAACTGACCCTCTCTTTTAGATGATGAGGACCAGCCACAGTTGGCACTGAGAATCCCCCCAGCTCAGGGCAGTATAGAGATTTTGTCTCTGGTTTCATACCTTAATGGCAAGCAACACCCTTAGGTTCCCAGCACCAAGTGTTCGAATCCTAGCTAAAATCCTCTCTCCATGCTCAGTAAGTCTAGGTGGCACACTTTATAATGGTCTAGGCATCCAAGGGAAAGCGACAGGCAATACACTAGCATCTGCAATGACACGAGGTAGTTGAGAAACAGGTGACTAAGGGGGCACTCTGCAGCCCCACCCACCATCGGTTCCTATCCCGATGTTCTGCTGCATCTCAAGAACTGCAAGGAGAGTGTCACAAAACAGGCAAACAGCACGGAGAAGCCAGTACACATGATGGGACATGCAAGTGACAGGTTTCCCAAATACCTTTCCCCATAATAAAATAATCTTAATAAAAACATAATTTAAAGAAAGTGTCAAAAGCCAAGTGTAACATCAGAGCTGTAAACTCTACCCAAGTTTGAAGGGTCTCTTGAAGTATCATCCCTGTTTAAAAGAAAAAAAAAATGAATTACATGATGTATATTAAAGCAGAAAAGTTAGAATTTCTAATCAGCTGCCATGGGAAACTAAGCCTGTTTTTTTTCATGGCAGAACAATAGAAGGAGCCTAATATGAATAATTAGAAGCTAAATTTATAATTCCTACGGAATCAGACATTTTCAAGACCTCACACATCGACTTCTACATCCGCCCTATGCAAGCAATCCTTCTCCACAGCACCCGGCCTCTTAACGGTGCCACTAACAGACAATTCTCCACTTGCAGTCAGAAATTCCATGACTAACCAAATATCTACCTCCTTCACTGGTAACATTTCTTTTTATATCAGTTCCTTAGACTGTGAAACAGCCTATAGCAAACTCTCTAGTCAGGGATTAATGTGTCCATCTGTGTTAAATGCTTACCTAACACACAGGCCCTCTTCCTGATACTAACTTCTCATGCCTACCCACCAACTACTTAGGCTATCACAGGACAGGGGGCCAACCAACCACAGCAGGAGGGGAAACAGCTGTGATCAGCAGGTCAGACCAGCACTGGCCCAGCTCCAGAGGCCCACTGGTGATTAATATATGGTGTGCAGGATTCAGGAGCTCCCCTTGCCCAGACCTCAGGGCAGGAGCAGTGGGACCACATCCACACCCCTGGTTCTCCTTCCAGACCCCAGATTTCTGACGGACACCCCCTCATTTGATACCTCACCAGCAGAACGCGTACTTCCGCCAACACAATCCACGCACTTTTCTGTTCTTTTTTTTGAGATAGAGTCTCATCACCCAGGCTGGAGTGCAGTGGCGCAATCTCGGCTCACTGCAACCTCCACATTCTGGGTTCAAGTGAGTCTCCTGGCTCAGCCACCTGAGTAGCTGGGATTACAGGCGTGTGCCGCCACACGCAGCTTATTTTTGTAGAGATGGAGTTTTACCATGTTAGCCAGGATGGTCTTGATCTCCTGATCTCATGATCCGCCTGCCTCAGCCTCCCAAAGTGCTGGGGTTACAGGCGTGAGCCACTGCGCCCAGCCCAATGCAGTTATCTTAAAGGATAGTTACGATTCGCGGCAGTGCCCACAGTTACTGCACTTTATGAACCTCAAACCCTGTCACTAAAGACAAACAGTCGATGTCTGTTTGACAACTGTTCTGATGTGGAAGGAATTACAGAATAAGCAGCAATCAACAGAAACTGTTCTCTAAGCAGTGTCAGCTTTAAAGTACTTCCTGATGAAAACCTGAGGCTCTGCAGAAATGACAAATGCCATTGTCATACCTGTCCCTTCCTTCAAGATCTCCAAATTTATAGCTACATCAAACAGTAGGGTGACCCCCCAGAACTGGTCAGATTGGCACCAGAATGTAGTAATCAGTAATGAGACAACTGCCCAGTGACTGTGTCTGCCCAAGCTGTAGTCCCCAGGGCAGGACTGGGAGGTGCACTGCAACCTGGAGGAAGGACTGCCCATGTGATACCCACACTGACCTCACCGCTTCCTTTTTCTTCTCTCTCCACCTGTGGATTACATTCAAGACCCCACCACTTTCATTCTCTGGCAAATAAAAATTTTCAGCTGTAAACTTTCATGATATTCTTGCAATTGCAGTGTGTTATCACTGTTTTTTTTTTTTTAAACTAAAACTTTAAAATACCACTTACGCTACAAGATCAGTCATGATTTATTGACGGAAACTTCAGATCAGTAATCTCAGAGTCAGGGGAGCTGCTTCCACTTCTGTCACTATAGGTGTCCCTGTAGAATTCAGATGGTTTATT